CGGTGCTGTTTGGCTTAGGGAGGGGCATTTTGCATGTATGCCAGTTCCTGTTCTACAAAACATGTTAACTAATAGGCCCAATCTTGGTGAGACTTGTTAACCCTGCCAAGCTCAAATTGCTGCAAATGAGTCAGTTTGGTCACAGGAATTCAGGTTTATAAAGGTCTTCACGAGATAACCTGTATAAGCTTCGCTGTGTACTATTTGATGCCCTCATCAGGTCAAACTGCGCCATAAGAGCTAAGAAAAGACTATTTATATGACGTTGCAAGTCCGTAATTCCAGAGAGATTCAGTTTCCCATTACAGTCAGCTCAGTGGGTTCTAGAAGGAAGCCTGCAAATCTATCTGACGTCTTGACCACATCTGGCGACACCGCTGATCTCGCACGGAACCTCAGTTCATATGTAGACTCAAAAATACCTCCTGGTTAGTTTGCCTGACATTTTGCAAGACCTGTGCTGCTTTACATCACGCCTTTTTATTTCAGGTTTGAGCATTTGTGTGCTCATTGTTCTTTCAGTAGTGGCCTTCGCTCTGATACTGATGGGTGCGTGGAAATCGTTTCGCTTCTTCTAATCACGATGGAATTTCTCCATTTATCCATGCTGCCCCACTATTTGATGTTTCAGGAACGTTCCACATCCCGTTCTGTCAGGCGCAGCCGATGATTCCCATCTGGCTCATCGTTGCCGGAATACTTTTCATCATAAGTGCAACAATGCGTATTTATCGTATGATTCCGACTCCTAGAGGCGGACACCGATCTCAGCTAATGTCGTTCGACCTTTGCTGCCGACTTAGCGAGGCCTTGATGGTGGTCATCAATGTCGTATGGCTGACACTAGGTAAGCTTTCGCGGCCTCAATAAGGTAACGTTCGGACTTCGTGATGACGTGCTACGAAGAGTACCAAACAGCGTGATTAGGCAACACCTACCCCACTGTTCTACCATTCCCTCTCAAAAGACTAGCATCCGGTGCCGATGGATAACCGTCTATAACATTGGAGCACTACTGTTATGTCAGCGCGTTGTAGCGCATCGTGACGCGTCGTGGCTTGTCGACACGCGTCATCGCGAAATCTGAACCTTAGCCTACCTAAACGAGCAGTGTGAGAAATAATTTATGAACAGCCATGTATTGAACGTGGTTATAGGCAACGCGCAACTAAACTGAAAGCTCTGCTCTTTCCTTCAATATATCACCGGAATACGTTTTTCAGCTCAAGGGTTAGCTCCACTTGCGGCGACGGTCGCAAGAAATACCAACGC